TGAACTGTGTGGGTCCACTTATTAGACTTTTTCTGTCAAATACAGTACAGTAGTGTAAATGTACTTTCTCTTCCTTATGATTTGCCTAATAATATCTTTTCTCTAGCTTCCTTTCTTGTAAGAATACAGTACATAATGCACATAACGTACAAACTATGTGTCAACCAACTATACTATTGGTAAGACTTCCACATTACAAGTACTTAGACCAACACAATCAGTGTTAGTACTGTACCTTATTTCTAGAGCAGTCATTCCAACCCTATTTCTGGTGGACTTCTCCTTCTAAAAAGGTACCAGTAATGCCTATCTATTAATCAGGATTACTCTGAAGAGGGAAAAACAATATTTTTTTCAAAGAAAAATACTAGTGTCCTCACGGAAATGGTTATTTCTTAAGCTATCCATATTACACTTAAGAAATAGTTACATAACATTTCCCCCTTCACTATGGTTTTCATTTGCAAATTCAATTTGAGGGCTTAGATACTGCTGGCTTTATTTTTTTTTAAGAATAACAATAACATATTAAGAAATAAACATTCTGATTAAACTTGCTACTCAGTCAGGGGGCATGCTTATTCCTTCACCTGAACTTCCTCTGCCTGCCACCCCTCCAGATCCCCCCAGCCCCTCCTCATGACGGTGTCTCTGTATATTGGCTCTGAGACACAGGGTGACAGCGTGTCCAAAGATTTGCAGGAGGCGGTATTTAGCATCAATCCCCATTCCATACATTTGTATCTGGGAGCCCACTGTGAGAAGGAAACCATTTTACAATAAAGTGGAACACAGAGACATAGAAACTACCAGCAAAAAACAAAACATAACATTTTATTTTCCCACCCTCCTCCCAGTGGCCCAGTGAATCACTTTTCTTCTCATGTACTCACTCCCTCAGTCAAGCTCCTACTGAGGGCACGGTAGCAGGTAACAGAGCCCTTAGATCTTGCTTTCGGCCCCTTCCCCCTCAACTCCTTATTCTGAAGCCCCAACTCAGAGTGTACCCTGCCCCTCGCTTCCTGTCTCAGCTTCAGCTTCTGTCACAGTTCATGAACATAAACTTATAATGATTTGTTTCTTGTCTGTCTTCCCAAATAGACTGGAAGCTTCATGAACGAAAAGACGGTCCCAGTATTTTCAGAGCTGTGGACAGGGTTTGGCCCAAAAAGAGAATCAGTAGAACTGTCCGAAATGAATAGATGGAGAGTTTAAGAAAATCAAACCCCACATTTGCTCCACGCATGCCCTCAGGGTGTGTGTGCGTGTGTGTGTGTGTTTATGTGTCTGGGAGGGGAAAGGTTGGGAGAGGTCTGTAAATCCTGTAAATGCAAAGACTTACACTCCCTTCCCCAGACCTGGGGTACAACCCTGGCTGGAAATGGACTACCAGGAAATTCTCTAGGATTATCTCATCTCATTGTTCCTTTATTCCTTAAATATAGATGTCTACACTGTACAGCTTTTACTCAGTAAACCACTTAATCTGTACTTTCCTCTTGGTCTTTAACACTTTCTATTTCCTATTTAGTCTGCAAACTTCCTCTGAGCAGGGGAATGCAGTCAAATTAAACCTTCCAACCTGGAACTTTACGTTTAAAGTACGTTCATAAGGTTTATTTTTGCGTTTTGAATTGACATAATTAAGCAGAGATTAAAGGAGGACTATATTAAAGATGCTTTGTAAGTCTCTTAAGGTAATATATGTCCCCACCCAGATCCAATTTGCAGGAACGGAATGTACATTTCTACTGAATTTTATTGCACTTCTTCAGTGACAATTTAGTGACCACATGAAAGGTATATAATAGCTATGCTTATTTCTGGAATGACTGACAACCTTCATCTTTATACAAATATCTATACAGAAGTCTCCAGTATGCCATAAACAGTAACATAAAAATAAGGAGGGGCGCCTGGGTGGCTCAGTTGGTTGGGCAACTGCCTTCGGCTCAGGTCATGATCCTGGAGTCCCGGAATCGAGTCCCACATCGGGCTCCCTCCTTGGCGGGGAGTCTGCTTCTCCCTCTGACCCTCCCCCATCTCATGTGCTCTCTCTCTCTCATTCTCTCTGTCTCAAATGAATAAAATCTTAAAAAAAAAAAAAAAATAAGGAGCGTCCAGCAACAAGGAGAAAGCCTTATCCACAGGACAACCTCTCTGTTTTCCTTCAAACCATTATTCAGTGGACCACATTATTTCTTTTGTATTGTTTTCAATCAGTCATTCCCAACTTAACCTTGTAATCTATTTAGTTGCGAGTTCCTTTTGCCTTCCCCAATCAGAACCAGGGGTCATTATTCAACCTGGAATACTTCTCTGCGGTACTAACAGCCTCCCAAGTGCCATCAGGCGTCTCTGCTGGTTAGGGTGACAAGAGAGAAGCTTTTGTGCTGTGTTGGTTGTCATGACTTCCCGTTGATTAGCAAGAAACAGTGACTCCTTAGAGATCACGATCAAATCTGGGCTCCACGATTCTGCGTACAAATGTCTACTTTTCGGGCAGTACTAGTCAGTATGAGTAGGTATCTATAACCTGTGAATTAGCACCATCATCAAAGCAAATCAATGTTTCTAGGTTAAACCCCCCTGTTTAGGTTAAACCCCTCAAAACAGTAAACTCAAATTTAAAGAAGCAAGTGTATATAAATGTTAGAGCCCTTTAATTTCATACTCTATCAATACACCAGGCAAATTCATCAACTCAGGTAATAACCCCAAAAGTGGAGGCCCCATTATCACTGCCCTTATTCATTTTTTAGAGCCACCTGCAGTGGACCTATTCTCTAAGCCCTACAAAAGACACTCAACTCGTAAATACATCTTTTAGTGGACACAGACATAGCTGAATTAATCCCCCTCAAACCTCATTAGAGTGAATTGCTTATCCTTCCTTCCACCAATGCTTTGCAAAATGGACTAATGTGCATTTCACCTCCACTCTTTGAAGGAAGTGGCAATAACAAGTAAAAATGTCCAAAAGAATGGCAGAAAGCAAAGAAATGCACACAGGCCAAAAAATAAATCTGAGCCATATTTGCCTACATGCTGCCTCTTTTTATACAGGGGAAAAAAAAAAAAGCAGTGATCAAAAAAGTTAAATATTTACATTTTTGCAAAAACTTCAAATATAAAGGTTATGATATGCTTTTAATTACTTTGTGTATTTCCTGGTGTGTAGGAAGACAATCAGGAAAATAAAGGAAATACTTGTAGGAATAAATTTAAGTAACTGGAGGATAAAAGAATCCCCTTAATTAAATGCATTTTTTAAAAATATGGAAAACTAAATGCTTTGCCTCTTGCATCAATCTGTCTTAACCAGTTTCAGGGTGATTTCTGAGCCGCTTACAGGTAAAAGAAGGGAAAAAAGTTCAATGACCTTGCAAATTAGGGACTAAAAAAACTGCACAGCCTCGGTGTAATTACAGAAAAACACTGGTATGGGAATTGCTTTTTTGGAAAAGGAGGAAAAAAAATTGGAAAAACTGGGAGAGACTGCAAATGGGAAGATACCAATGGAAACCCAAAGGATGCGAAACACAAGCTCTTCTGCCCCAAGTGTCACGCAAACAACTTCTTAGCATCTTTAGGTAAAAAGAAAGAGTCGTTTTGTACAGGCGTTAGCTGAATGTTCGAGAGTTGGATGAATGGGGAAGACTTGTTATACACCTAGCGGTGGGTGGATTTCACCAGGCTGCAGCCTCCACACCGCTTTTCTTTGCTGCACTGCAGAGGCGCCATCTTCTCCGTCTTAATCTTCACTCAATTCAAGCCTTTTATCTGCGCCCTAAAAAAAAAGACCCTGAGCACCCTCCCCAGCAGCTCGCGCCCCTAGGGGGGCCAAACCAGACGGCCCCGCGCTGCCAGGGAAGAGGCCGCGCCTTAATCAGACAAACGCCTCCTTTGATGCACAGGAAGGGAGAGCTCGTGCCTCCCCACCACCCGCCACTGCCCTTACCAGACGCACACCCCACTGTCCGCCTATTTCTCCCCAAGGACTTTCCAGCCCAGCACAGAATTTGCAAGCCTCGAAGGTGACGGGGGGTGGCTGTAGAGGGGCCCCAAGGCTCCGCCACAGCGGCCCCAGCAGCGCCCCAGCCCCCTCCGGGACAGACGCGCACCGCCGGGAAGGGAGTCGGGCGGGAGCCGCGGTGGCGCACAGACCAAGGCGGCTGGCTCAGCCACCGCGCCCCGGGCTGGCGAGGGCGGGGTGTCGCGGCTTTTGTTCCCGGGAACCTTCTCCCCCTCCGGAAGCAGCTAAAGGTGCGGAGCGAACGCTAGGGCCGCCCAGGCTTGGGGAAGGTGCGAGGTGGCCGTGGGTCTCCTACCCCTCCCATCTCTCTCAACTTACACAAAAGGGAGACGCAAAATGTACAAAGTTTGCCTGCGGAAGGTGGTGCGTGACCCCGATGGGGTCGCACGGAGGTGGCCGCAGCGAGCAGCCGCCAAAGGGAAGGAGCAGGAGGTCCGGGAGGGAACGGGGGGTGGGGTTGAGAAGGGAAGGTGAAACGGGGCGGAAAAGGCAAAGGGAAGGGGGGTGCTTCCCGAGAGGTTCCGACCCCTCCTCCCCAGGGCCCCAGAGAAGGAAGGGCAGCGACAGGATCCAGGGGCGCTGCGTTTTCGGTTTTCCCCACGTGCTCCGTCCCCTGCCCCCCCATCTGGAAGTCTCTCGCCTCTCCCGGCCCCCGCCCGCGAGGCAGGGGACTGAGTCAGGGTCCTAGCTCAGGATCGCCTCCACCCCTCCTCGGCCCCAACCGGCGCGGACCGGGGAGCCCGACGCCTCGCCAGCTCCCTCTCCGCCGGCCGGAGCGCGCGTCCCCGGGGCAGGGCTGGGCCGGAGGCGCTGATGCGCAGGGCGCCTGCAAGCGGGGGCGTGGGACGTGGAGGGAAGACGGGTTCCCTGGACTGCCCGGGCTTCTTCGGATTAAAGACTTGGGGGAATCGGGTTCCCACCGTATTCCGCCCCCCCGCCCCCAATTCCGAGGCGCGGCACCCACCTCCAACGCCCGAGCCGTCCAGGAGGCCAGTAGGAGCAGTGCCAAAGCGCGCAGCATCGCGACCCTGCGCGGGGCGCCGAGTGCGCTGCTGTGCGAGTGGGAGCCGCCGCGCCCTTGCTCTGCCGGAGCCGCCGCCGCCTCCGGTGGCCCCCCGCTCGCGCCGCTCCGGCCGCTCTCTCCTGCCGCTGCCGAGGAAACTGACGGAGCAGGAGCTCGGCGGCTGAGCCCGGAGCCGGGAGAGTCAGCTGATCCAGCCCACCCCATTCGGCACCCGAGAGAGACCCCTAGCGGAGCCGCCGGGGAGCTGCGTGCGCCCGGGCCGGAAGGGGCCCGCGCCCCCGGCGCCCACAGGTGCGGCGTCCTCGCCTCCTCCGCGCCCCGCGCGCCCCCCGGGCTGCGCCAGCGAAGGGCAGAGTCTGGAGCCGGGAGCGGGACGGTGCAGGCTCAGGGAAAGGTGAGTCGTAGGACGTTTGGGCTCCGGAAAAGTCGGAGCTCTCCCGCTCGTCCCCGTGAGCTCGACTCGCGCGACCCCGCAGGCCTCTCTGGGAGGTCGTGTAAAGGGCTGCTGCGGGGGTGCGTTTTTATCCGCCTTTCGTTTTTTGCCTTGGTCTGGTGGGGGGAGGCGTTTCTGGAAGAGAATAGGAACAAGACAAGCTTAAAGGAAATAGAATTTCTTTGCTTGTTGAAGAGTAAAAGCCTCATTTTTTTTTTTTTTCGTCAAAAACATCCAGGAGCAACCTGGAATGTCTATCTTTAGAACGAACCAAAGGAGAAAGGCACCGGACCTGGCAGAGAAGGGGGCGACCTATTTACTTCTCCTTGAAGGAAGGGTTTAAAAAAAAAAAAAAAGTTTTGCTTATTTGTTGGGTGCTTTTGGTTTTTGTTTTGGGAAGGGGATGGTCAGCCAGGATTTTCTTTTTTTTTTTTTATCAGGCAGGGTTGTAACATCCATCTGAGATGAGGGTGAAGAGAAAGTTCAGAGGGAAAAGATTTGGAGAGATGATTCCTGTTCGACCTTCATAAGTAAGAACTCCTGACCTCGAACTCTGTCCTTGTTCGTCATTGTGTCTGTCCTAAATTACAGAAATGAACCTGCTGGGAACCCACTTTCTCCTAGATTAAACACAACCCATCCAGTTCCCCGGCTAGTGTTTAGCTAGGCTAGAATGGTCTAGAACTGCCCAGCTGTATTCCCTGCTCTTAACCTGAAGGAACTTTAGTCACTAAGCCACCGTCCACTGTGGTGCTAGTGGGAGGGAATGAAACCACAGCCTCTGGCCTATTGGGATCAAGGCTCAGCCAGGAAGATGCTGACTTCCCTCCTGAGAAGTCAACATTCGTCTGCCCCTCCCCTAAATGTTGTCTTCTGTCATTCCCCCCTCAAGGCATCCGATCCTGACCCTTGGGCTACTTTTCTCCTTGTTCTTTGAGTGTCATTAACAAATAATAGCAAATACTTGTTGTAGGGTAATATCTGTTTACATGCTTTATGTTCTATACTTCCTGCAAAAGCCAGTGAGGCCCTTCCTATAATTCCTGATTATAAGATAGGAAGCTGAAGCTAAGCAAATCCCAACAGCAAATAACAACACACATTTATCCACCAAGCCAATTCCCTCCATCCTAGGTTTGTCTGAACAATTGAAGGCATCTGAATGCAAAAAGGAGTATAACTCCAAGATGGGGAGGGAGCAGGGCCAGCTACAAATTGTGCAGGGTCCACTGCAAAATGAAAAGGTGGCACCCTTTGTTCTAAAATTAAATATTTTATTTTTTAAAAGATTTATTTGACAGAAAGAGAGGAGAGAGAGGGAGAGAGACAAGCAGGGAGATTGGGAGAGGAAGAAGCAGACTCCCTGCTGAACAGGGAGCCCTGTGCTGGGCTGGACCCACTGAGCCACCCAGGCACCCCCAAAATTAAATATTTTAAGGTGGCGACAGCAGAATGTTAAACCAATCATGGGACTCCTTCTGAGCACTGGGCCCTGTGTCATGCAGAATGCATGCCCAGGAAGCAATTTTTATAAGAGTAAGGGACTTCTATTAAGCACAAATTAAAAAACAGGTGAAGTTATAATCTATAAAAATAAAAGTTCTTAGATTTAGCATTTTATCTTTCCCCTGTTGAAATTCACAGCACTCACACATTCCTTGGACAAGATGTTCCCCAAGAAAAGATGATTAGCTCCTGACTGTGTCAGAATGATGGACATTCTTTACATTTTCTCCTGTTCTTTCATCACTCCGAGATGCTGATGGCTTTTACTTTTCTTTTTTTGTTGTTTTTAAAGATTTTATTTATTTATTTGACAGACAGAGAGATAGCGAGAGCAGGAACACAAGCAGGGGGAGTGGGAGAGGGAGAAGCAGGCTTCCTGCAGAGCAGGGAACCCGATGTGGGACTCCATCCCAGGACCCTGGGATCATGACCTGAGTCGAAGGCAGACGCCCAACGACTGAGCCACCCAGGCGCCCGGTTTTTACTTTTCAACCACTATCTCTGTTCTGCATTTAATGCCATTTCCTGCCCTGAGGTGTCTTCTGGGTCCCCTGAGCCAGAAATACAAGAACATCCCTAGACAGAAGAACACTGCAGAACTGTGGATGGGAATGACCGCCCATTGGCAGGACACTCCACCCCAGCATTCCTAGTAGAGGCTTCAATGCCTCAGTTTGTGAGAGGCTCACTAGCTCTTCAGACAATGCATTCTGTCTTTGGGCTGTAGGATTACTAGAAAGTTCTTGCCCCATTGAAAGCCCAATTCCTTTCCTTTAACCTCCCGCTTAGGCGTACAAAAAGGACCAAGCAACTAGTCTTTTCCACACCAGAGAAATTTATTTTCTCACAATCCTGGAATCTAAAAGGCCACAATCAAGCTGTCGGTAGCGTTGGTTTTCCCTGTGATGGCACTGTGACATACCTGAGAGTTTCACATGCCTCTTAACCGTCTTCCTTTCTGGAACTTCATGCCTATTCCTCCTTGTAGACCAGAAGTAGATCTTGAGTTGTATTCTGTCTCATCTCTCTTCACCTTCTCAACAGCGAAAGGGCATTATTACTTCCTTGTCTTCACTGCAGCCTTCAATATCTACAGAACTCGAACCTGTAAATAGCATTCAAGCTTTTCATCATAAAGTATTTTCTCCCAATGATGAGTGCAGTTTTTCACATAGTAAGATATTTTTTTTCTTTCTAACGAATAGACGTAAAGCTTTTAAATGAATAATTAGCACTTAACTTACCTGCACTTGACTACACCTGTGTAACAGACTTGCCTGTTGGCAGAGGATGAGACATTTCACCTGTCCTTTTTTCTTCAGTTACTACTTCATTCATGGGCCTTTACTTCACTATGGCATCCACACAAATCATACTTAGGATTGTCCTTTCAGTTCTCCTCTTTAAGGAGAGAGGAGTTCTAGAGTCTTTGATAAGTAACTCAACTTTCAAAATCCTAGCGAAGACGATAGCCAATTCATCTATCTTCAAACAATGCAGTACTTTTAAAATTAGTTCTTCTCTGCAATCACTTACACAAAACTACTTCAGAGGCAGGCGTCAGGTTCCAGTAAGTCATACTTTACAAATGGATTTGGTGTAATTCAGTAGTAACTCAGTGGGACAGCAAAATCAAGTGTTTAACTGGGCACCATTATTGGCTCTGACTTGCATAACTTGTTTGAAGAATGGTGGTAATTCCGAATTTCCCACAAGGACTAATTTAACAGAATATCGCCTTATCTTATTGAATAAAAAGGGGAAAAAACAAGAAAGAATAGGCCATGCATGCCAATCTGAGAGATAGGGAGTGTAGAAAGTCAATCCAGTAGCAGGAAGATTTAATGGAGACTGTACAAAAATAACACCGATTTGTTTCTTCAGAGAATTTTAATAGGGCAGCAATATGCAAGGGTGGAAAAGGGCTCAGACTTTGAGAAGTCTTGACGACTACCCATCAGTAATAGTTATGGGAGCCAGCAGAGCCTCCATCGCTGAACATCCTCCCTCATCAGGTGGTATAGTGCCCAACTCAGTGCCTAACACAGTGCCTGACTGACAATAGAAATCAGTTCTCTTTTCTTGAGAGAACAGGAATTCACATTAGCTGTCACTTAGTGACCAGGATAGTCCTACTTTGACCTTGCATCGACCTTGCCAGGGGCTGTCAGTTAGCACAGTAGCTGTCAACCCAGTGTTACTTAGGTGGGTCCCTAAGTAATACGTTGCCAATAAAAGTCCCCAATTTGTGAATGATTTACTTTAAAAAAAAATAAATGAGAGCAGATTCAAGGTGACTTTTTTATCAGCCTACTCATTTGTATTCCAATATGCTTTCTTGAGTGGGAGAGAAAGGGATGGAGCTGTAGAATTAAGTGATACGCGAAGAACTGGGCAAAACTTTGACCGCTCCCGAGGGCATGTCACAGGTATGTGAAAGATATGCATCCTGTTTGCAGATGGAAAGGACTGGAAAGGCTGCCTGCCAGAGGCGCTGAGAATCTTTCACAGGGCTGGTCCCTCCTGCAAAATGGAGGATCATGCCACGTGGTGAAGAGGAGTCACTCCCAGAGCAGCTGCCAGAAGCTCCAGCTTGCCATGGCCTGGGGCCATTGCCAACACTCTGCAGGGTGACAGACTTTGAGGCTGAGGGATGTTCTGCTGTAAGGTAATGAGGCCCTCTTTGTCTCCACACAAATCATACTTAGGATTGTCCTTTCAGTTCACCTCTTTAAGGAGAGAGGAGTTCTAGAGTCTTTGATAAGTAACTCAACTTTCAAAATCCTAGTGAAGACGATAGTTAGAGAAGTGTTACCTAACCCTAAAATGATTTGGAAGATTCCAGGCAGATATGCTTTAAGTATTCATGAACACCTTTTATAAATAAACAACATCCTGAATGACAAAGCACACAAACTGACTAACAAATAAATAAAAGCTTCATAGGCATTCAGTATATAACTTTTGTCCCTAAGCAAACACCTGACTTTGCTGTATCCACCAGATGTCCCATGTGATATTTATTCCCGTTAAAGTAAATAGAAGTCCTGGAAATGAAAGTGTTTAGCATTGGTGGATCAATCAAATATTTGTACACTTCCACTGTGGGAAGGATAAAAACCTGATACATTCACTCCCTTTAAAGAGCTTATGTTTATGGGAGAAAAATATCTGGGGAGGAAAAAGGCATAGTGAATGGTGACTATAGTTAACAATACTGCATTGTATACTTGAAAGTTGCTAAGAGAGTAGATCTTAAAAGGTCTCATCACAAAGGGGCACCTGGGTGGTTCAATTGGTTAAGCATTTGGCTCTTGATATCAGTTCAGGTGTTGGTCTCCGGGTCATGAGCTCACACTGGGCATGGAGCCTACCTAAAAAAAAAAAAAAAAAAAATGTAATTATGGTGGTGATAGATGTTAACTGAACTTACTGTGGTAGTAAGTTTCATTTTGTGTGTGTATATATATATATAGTCTCATTGTATACCTAACACTAATACATTGTTGTATGTTAATTACATCTCAAATTAAAAAAAAAAAAGCATAGTGGAAAACTTATATCAGTAAGTACAACTTTGTGTAAAGTATTCGTGTGTATGTATATGAATACATCAAAAGAAAATTAGAATCATAAGCCTATAACACTTGAAAGGGTTAATCAGGGACATCAGGAAGAAGGTATTTTTGCAGGGAATTTGATAATAACAATAAAAAGAAAAGAATAGGGAGCAAGAAGGAGGATATTCTAAGGAAGGACCATGTAAATACATCCAGAGTGTTCATGATGGGGCTGGTAATTGGGAGTTAGCTGTGGGGGGCACAGTAAATGTTTGAGGAGGTGAGGAATTTAGGTCAGATGGAATGGGCAGCAGTGGGCTAATACTGCTCAAGACAGGGTCCTAATCAATCTGACTTATTCTGACATTTCTAGAAAAAGTTCTGTCAGCGGGGAAGGTGTAGGGAAATTTGGAGGGTGAAAAAGTTGGAATTGATTGGGAAAAATAGGGAGAATTGCCAGAAGTGTCAGGTATGACCATGGATAGGATTTGTAAAAAGTTTGTGAAAGACATGGTAGGACACTTCATTCCTGGTAAGACCAAAGGATTGCTGTGTGCCAGGCTGAGAAATTTACACGCAGGATCTCACTGAAGTCTGTGAGTTGTGTTGGGTTTACCTCCCATGTCACAAATGAGGGGGTGACCGGGGTTAACGGAACCAGAAAGGGGTGAAGGAGGAAGGATTTGTACCCTGTTCTGTCTCAGCTGGACACCATTAATGACTTTTTTTTTTTTTTTTAGTGAGGGAAATGATACATTTGATTTTTAGTTTGTTTGGAGGTAGGGATCAGAAGTATATACGAAAGGAAGGAACTTGAATATGGTCTGTGGAGACTGAAGGGTGGCGAGCGGGAGATAAATGTTGGCGATGTGATGGGACAGTTGTCTGTGATGACTGACGGCCTGTCCCTAGCAGAGGATCTGAGAACTATTCAGATGAAGTTACCGTGATATCACAAAAAGCAGAGATGTCTCGTGTTTACTTGTAACAACCAACTCGTCACTTAGAGATGTGGTATCTGGGAGATGAACCATAAATACTCCTGTGGATACAGTGTGAGAAGGACTTGAGTTATATTTCTGTCTCAAAGTTATTTTCCAATACATGAATGAGCTAGAATAAGGATTCTTGAAAAATGGGGAGAATAGCATCTTTTAGCACAATTTCCGAACTGTGTACTGGGTCAACCTTGTACAGCAGTGTGTTACTAAGTGTTAAATACATATACAGAAATAGTTCTGTCATCAAAGAAGTTTGAGAAATATGCGGTTCAATAAAATTAAGCACATATCTTTATTTAGAATGCCTACCACCCTTTAAAATGCTGCTGTGTGGATTGAATTTTATAGCTCTTTGTACAGCATCCTTCTCTCTCCCCTATTTTTGTTTACTGCATCAACTCCTGGGGCTAGGGTTGCCCCGAGCAAGTTTTAGGGAACTGTGCTTTGAAGGCATTTTAATGGACTCTTGGACTTTTTTTTTTTTTTTAAGACCCTTGAAATAATGAAGGTTTAAAGTGTACATTTTTGTCAAAGCAGATGGGTTCTTTCCACTGAAAGGTGTTTCCACACATGACCTTGAAGATAGATTAATAAAGGACAAAAGTAGAAATAATAGGCTGACAGACATTTTAAAGTAGGGCATAACAGATGCCATAAAAGGCATTCTGAAAGTTTAAAATAGGAGTTATAATGTGTATTATATGGAAGAGACCGGTTTAGAGTCTTTGAATATCTATAATACACATATGTGAGTATAGGACTAGCATCTTCCCAGTTCCGGGGGGGAATTGGACAGAATTCAATTCACATTTGAGCCTGCTTCTCTTTAAATTTCCTCATGTAAAAAGGAGGAAGTATTTGCAGTTTACAAAGATACGCCTCAGGATAAAACTTGAGTTCACTGCACTACATTTCATCCTCCCAGATAGGGGCCCTTAAGACGTGGCCAGGACCTCTCCATCGTTAAGCGAAGACTTCCAGGAAAGAGAATTGAAGGAGACAGCTATTGCATTAATTTTAAGAAGCTTTTGCTGAAATTTCTCATAAAGAATACATAGAAAGTAAAGACATGAGAAATTATAACTCTGAGTCAAAAAAGAGAAAAAGAAAGAAAGAAAGAAAACCACCTCTAAATTCCCATAGTTTTTCTCTGTTAGTCTTTATTGAAAAATTCATTTACTGCAAATGGTATCAAGAGGCGCTGTCAGCCCTTGTTATTGTACCAAAAAGAAAAAGAAAAGGTTTAGGGAGCCCTATCTAAAAAGGAATGTTGTCATTTCTATTTTCTAATGATCGAGTGAAAACAGATTCTGTTACCTAAACTTCACAGAGCTAAGGGCCCAATAACCACCTTGTTCCGGTGAGTTTGTGAAGCCTGGTAAGAGATTTATACTAAATAAAAAGGGGAACAAGGCAGGCCATCGCCTTTTGGAGAGGAAGAATAAAATAAGATGGAAATCAACAGGGAAAATGGTGAAAACACGTCTTGGTTTTTAGATGATTCTAGAGCCCTATCATTAACCGTGGCTTAAGTCTTAGAAAATTTCAAATTCAGTACTAATTTTGGCCTATATAAGAAAACAAGTCATAGATTTGCTGAAACTCCATTGTAGCATTTTAGCCTCAACTCTTTGGGAGCTACTGGGAAATGTTTTTCTTTTTTTCCTCAGATTCTATCAACATTGGTGCTTTCCCACCAAAATCTCTAAACAACTCCAACAGGCTTATGTGGGTGATATCTAGAAAAAGGTAGACCAAGATATTAGAAACAGTTGGAGTAACTCAAGTTTTTAATACTGTCAATATTAGTCTCAATAATTCAACACCTAGACAACATGCACAAGAGATATTTTTTCAGCCAAGACCAAGGAGCTCCAGCATGCACATGATGTGCCTTCCCTCATTAGGCATACTTCTTTTTGGAATTAGTCTTCAGGATAATCATTCAGTGTAACCTTTAGTGTCCATGAACCAAAACACAGCACAACCTGGGGCTTTATCTGTCCTTTGGGATTGAGAAGCAGTTCTGTGTGTAAGTAGCAATTTCATCCTGATTTTTCAAGCTTGGAGCTCTCACCTTCCACACACTTGATGAAGAGAAGATGTTGGATGGCTGGCCCTGAGGAACCTTATCTTTCATTTCTCTGGTGAGGGAGAATCTGATTTAACATGGTTTTCCTTTACTCCGAATATGCCAGGTGCTCCCCCACCCATCTTGTAATATCCTGTGACTGCCTCCACCCATTCATCTCCAGCTCTTTTCCAGTTCCTGTGAGTTGAAAAAGAACACAGAATTACAGTGTTTAGAACTGAAGCAGATGTTGTGCTCATGTAGGCCAAGCCTTTCTATGATGAGGACTCATTGGCAACCCAGAGAAGTGGGGTGACTTGCATCCAGTCCTTTGACTCTTTATGGGCAAAGCTTGGCCCTACTCCCCCTGATTCTCATGCTCATTTCATCTCGTCTGGACATATCACCAGACCTGAGTCATAAAAACAGTGGGGCACAGAGGCCAGCCACACTTTATGAAGTTGTGGTATTTTTCCTCATCTAAACTTGGCTTATTTTTCTAAAAACTTGGGAGTTGGAACCCAACTTGGAAATCACCTGTTTGATCCTCCCACGAATGCAGGTCTCTCACCTGCAATATTCTTGAGACAGTTATTTGGTGTCTGCTTTCTTATTTCCTGTTGTTAGGAGCTATCTTCCAGAAACATAAAAATTTCACTAGAATGCTTTTGTTGTTATATTGAGCTAAAAGTTACCTTTTCTGTGACAAAGGAGGCAAGAATCTACAATGGGGAAAAGACAGTTTCTTCAACAAATGGTACTGGGAAAACTAGAAGCTACATACGAAAGAATGAAACTGGACAACTTTCTTACAGCATGCACAAAAATAAACTCAGAGTGGATTAAAGACCTAAATGTGAGACTTGAAACCATATAAATCCTAGAAGAAAACATAGGCAATAATTTTTTTGACATTGGCAGTAGAAACATTTTTCTAGATCTGTCTCCTCAGGCAGGGGAAACAAAAGCAAAAATAAACTGTTGGGATTACACCAAAATAAAATGTGCACAGTGAAGGAAACCATCAACAAAATCA